TCAAACTGTGGTCTAAAACTATTGTACATAAAAATTTTCGTGTTGATCTTCCGTATATGCTGTGAAAGAGAATATGAACCCCGCAGATCATTGCAAAGCTACTTCAAAGAAATGCGAAAAATGTGCTTTTCCAATACGATGAAAACTATTTTTAGCTGGAGCGAAGTCGGAGCAGGGGTGGAGTGAGCGAGAATGGAGTTAGAGCGGAGCTGGAGCTGAGGTGGAGCGAAAATTTACTGGTTGGAGCGGAGCGGGTGCAGAAACTTTCTTGTTGGAGCGGAGCGACTCAAAAATGCCTGAAGCGGAGGTGGAGCGAGAAGAAGTCGGAGCTGCCCATCTCTGGACCAGAAGTTACTTTATTAAAATAAGTTAGAAAGGACGAAAACGCTAATTTTTTGAGTTTTTCTTTGTGTAATTTTTTAGTTTCTCACCCTACACCGTAAGCGGTATGGCTCTGTACTACTACTACTACTGTTTAAAATAATAAATCGAAATGCACGCTCTTTATTCCTCGTCTGATATTATTCTTTTTCTCCGTAAAAAAGAATAACAGTGAGATAAAAGGTGAAGTTATTTGCTTTGACTATATAGTTATTTCATTTAATTCTATTTAAGTAACACTAAAACGTAAGAATGATTAAAATTTTGTGTATTCATACTGTCTGGCCAATTATCAAAAATTCTTCAATGTGTCCACTACAAGTGATTTATATCTGGTCCAAGATATCTGGATAAAATATTGCGATCTAAAATTAAGTTTGATATTTGGTTCGTTTTCTTCGTTTAATAAAAATGACTTGTATTTGTTCTCTTATTTAGGTTTACAATGAAAACTCATTATTCAAATGTGAAGCACACTATTTGGTTCGTCGTAAAGATCCTACTGTATGGGAACAAGTATTACGTGAAAATAATCAATATCGCCGTCCTCTGATTGATCGAGTTATTCAAACTGTAATAGCCGAAACTCAAGATGGGGAAGAACTTGCAGTTACCATTAAAGCATTTATGACGGCCGATATACCAAATAATTTAATTGAATTATTAGAAAAAATTATTTTTGATAATTCAGTATTTAGTGAACATCGTAATCTAGAAAATTTAGTTATATTAACAGCAATCAAAGCCGATCGGTCAAGTGTCATGGGTTATATAAATCGTTTGGATAATTATGATGTATCAGAGATAGCAAATATTGCTATTAGTAATCAATTGTATGAAGAAGCATTTTCAATCTACAAAAAATTTGAATTTAATACATCAGCTATTCAAGTTTTAATTGATAATATTAATAATTTGGATCAAGTAAATCATTTTGCGGATCGATGTAATGAACCAGGTGTATGGAGTTTATTAGCCAATGCACAAATAAGAAATGGTCTTGTAAAAGAAACTATTTATTCATTCATCAAAGCCGATGATCCAACATCATATTTAGAAGTTGTCAATGTTGCAAGTCAAAATGGTATGAGACTAATCATTTTCTGATACTAACTGAGTAGAAAAACTGATTTTCTATTTATTTTTTATTATATAGATAATTGGGAAGATTTAGTTCGATATTTACAAATGGCACGCAAGAAAGCTCGAGAAACATTTGTCGAAACAGAATTAGCGTTTGCATATGCTAAAACAAATCGACTTGCTAAATTAGAAGAGTTTATATCTGAACCAAATCATGCTCAAATTCAGAATGTAAGTACTGGTTTCATTACTGTAACGCAAAGGAGCGTGGAGTAAATTTTTCTAAAAGAGTTGTTTACTTATTGCTAATCACTTTTTATAAGTGATAAACATCTTATCCGTTCCTATAAACATTTAAAACAATTTGATTTACATTTCATTTTGCATTCAGTCTTTACACTTAGCAGAAATAAAGATGAAAACTCGAGATTAGTGTTTAATACCATGTATGATTGTTGAAAAAAACATTTTTTAACTTACAGTATGTTGGTAATTATATAGTAGATGAAAAATTCATGCTGATGGGAAGAAAAGAGTTCGATTTTATCCAATAAAAATCAAGTTTATATTAGTACACTAATCAACTTTAGGTTGCGATCGTTGTTTCGAAAATGGCATGTATGACGCAGCAAAATTATTGTTTCTTAATAAGAGAACAAATACAAGTCATTTTTATTAAACGAAGAAAACGAACCAAATATCAAACTTAATTTTAGATCGGAATATTTTATCCAAATATCTTGGACCAGATATAAATCACTTGTAGTGGATACATTGAAGAATCTTTGATAATTGGCCAGACAGTATGAATACACAAATTTTTAATCATTCTTACGTTTTAGTGTTACTTATCATCATACCAAGCATTCTCAATTAAAGAACTACAGTAGGCTTGAATAGTCAAATATTAAAATATAAAAATACTACAGTCAAAAATAGAAAAAATAATCGATATAATGATATAAAATGCAGAATGTTCATCGTATGCATTTGTGAGAAACTCTTTAGGATTCTTTTTATAGATATGATGCTAGCACAACTGAATTAATTTTATTGAACAATTTATCGTCACTGTCAAAGATATGAAGAAATCTTTACAGCTTCCTATTGTTCTCTCACTTTACTCGCCAACATGGAAAGAATAAAACATAGTTGTTTCTTCTTGCGGCATTGAGGAAAACACAGAAAAAACACAGTTTAATCATGAGATCCAAAGCAATTCACACAACATACAATTTGAAGTATATAACTATAAGTTTCTGCTTGTTTTTGCATTTTGTTAGAAAGGAAATAAGCATTAGAGTATCCATTCTTGTAGGACAGAAAAAAACTAGAAGATTTGAAAATAGTTCAATTTTTTGTTTTAATGTTTGCTTCAATGAAACAACTTTGTAATGAAGGAAATCGAATTCTTACCTAGGCGTTTGGCTTCTCTTTCGTATTCATGAGCACTGGTCAAAAGTCATTTTAAATTCAAATGGGATTTAGAGGTGGCCTAAAATTTGTAGTATTGATAAATGTGGGCAAATAAGTTTAGTATTTTATTAACGTGGTAAATTTACATCTCAGTTTTAATGAAAGGTGTTCATAAGAATTCAGTGAGACTAGCATGAAAAGCACGTTATGTAAATAGCATGTTAGGAGATAACGTGAAATTTTTGAGCAATTCAAACGAACATCTTTCTTAAATTGTGTGGGCGATTTTCGTGACTATTCTATAGGTTAAAATTGAATAATATCCTCAACGGCCAATTGTAATACACTAATGCGTTTCTCTAGGCTTGATGTTTAGGATAATTGAAATACACGTCTAAATATCGTCTAAAAAAATGTATTTACGTTGCACGGTTAATATTCTATCATAATTACTCATATTTGCTTTATTGTTCACTGAACATATCGAGAAACGTTTTTAATTTAATTCCTCCTGTTGAATTTGTTTGTTCGTCTCCAGTTTTAGTTATTATTTCTCCATTCAAATGAGCCAAAATCGGACTTTTTACACCAGCTATTAATTGTTTCCAAGTTTCTTCTTTATTCACTTCGACAATCATATCAACATCGTTTGAATGAATATTTTCAGGCCATTTCCATTTTATATCAGCTATTTCATTTCTTACATGTATACTAAAGTGTTCATCAGTATCATTCACGTGAAATAGAATCAGTTGATTCACACCATTCGCTTTCTTATTATCGAGACTAACAGGTAATAACATCAATGAACTATTCAACGCAGATTTTAAAATTGACTGAACTCGTCGTTCAGCTACTGGTTTAACGTCCATTAAACCTTGAATTTCTAATGATTTTGTCAAATACCAGTTACGAGCAGGTGCTGATGTTTGAACTGACGCCAAATTTTGTAATGATAAAACTTGTAGTTGAATAATGTCTGACACATTTGCGTCTTCAGGATAAAGAGTTAATGCTTCAGTTAATTCCAAACACCATTGATACTTTTGCTCTGAATATGCAATTTTTGCCATTTCAAATACTTTTTCGTTTCCTCCACCAAGTCTAATAAGATTTTGGGCCCGAACAATAGGAGAGTCAGGGTTTAAATCAGATGTTTTACCACTAAACCACCCCAAATACTGATCGAAAATTGCACGAACACTCCTAAAAAAACTTAAATCTCAATATGCTTTTTCCATTTGTTTCTGGTCGAAGCTGTTTGGAGTGAAAAAAATTTAAAATAAAAAAAATTCTCCATACAAAATCACTTGTAAATTCAAGTTTCTACCCTTTGAAAACTCTTCATCGTTGAGAAATAAACTTTTTTAAAAACACGAATATTTTTGGTTTTTAGAAAAAGATTTAAAAAACTAGTGAAAACTACGGCTGTTACAGTTACCGATTACCGTTACCACCGTTACTCGGTAATGGTAACTGCTGTGAACAGTTACCGTTCTTGATAACAGTAACGGGTAAGCAGTTACCGTACAAGTAACGGTAACTGCTTACCCGTTACCGTTACCAGGAACGGTAACTGTTCAGCAATTACAGTTACTGTAACGCTACTGGTAACTGTCACAGCACTAGTGAAAACCAAGTTTTACGAAAATTAGGATTTTCACGCTGTTTTTACATAATATTAAAAGATTCACCATTCGCTCATAAAGCCGAAGGACGAGTTGGAAACATCAGGAAATGCTTAGTTTTGTCGATTAAACGTGATTATATGATCGAAAAAATTGAGAAACCATATTTTCCTTCGAGGGTTTTTGGAAACTTTTGCGACAAATCGTTGGGTTTTCTAAATTCTTTTTCGTAGGTTTCTTGTAAATAAAATATAAAATAGTCTAAGTACTGTATATCCTGATGTTTCCAACTCGTTTTTCTTTTTTCTGAGTGAATCGTGAATTTTTTAATAGTATGTGAAAGGAGCATGGAAATCCCAATTCTCTTAAAACTTGGTTTTCAATAGTTTTTTAAATCTTTTTTTAAAATAAAAAATGTTCGCGTATAGAATCATGCTTCCAAGTCTCCTCTTTCAAATGCCGAAAATTAGAGCTCTCTAGGTGCTTTCTATCAAACATTATCGACAAAATAGCAGAGTCCGTTCTTTTATGGACAGATAGTAATACAATTATTTATCACTTATTTTTTACGCCCGACTGTTAATATCCTACCTATTCGTAAACGGTTTTCTTAACGCGCTCTGACCTATTGATAATGAAACATAACTTTATACAAATGCAAGTCATGTTTAAAACAGTTTTCATGGATATACTAATTCTAATGGTACTCATTGTAGAGCATTTTTCCGGGTTGGGTGACTTTCATTAAAAAAACTTTCATTAAAGCGTTTTTTTTTCAATAAAAGTACCCGAACGTTCATTAAAAATATCTTTAATGAAATTCTCGGTACTTAGGTTAAAGCATTTTAACGGGAGTTTCATTGAAATTTTTGATGGCGGAATCATTAAAATCATTAAATCCAGGTTCACTGGACTAACTCTCCTTAAAGATCACTATCCTTTCCAATAACGAAATCTGTAAATGCTCTATATCTACTATATATAGCGCTTAGCAAAAGAAACATGTTTTACTTCCTATATGTATCGGTACGCGATATATAAGATGCACGAAAAGCAGAGTTCGAGTTTAGTGATATTTCATGTCTTTTTATACGTCATTCGATAGAGAATTGACAGAGGATCACGAATATTTTGTCCCCGCTTTCAAAAACCATTTCCTCGCTCAGATATCTTCGAAATACTGCGACTATGTCAAAAAACCGACAAAAACACATTTTCAATAAAGTGGCCGTAATTTTATCTGATTTCATTTTCGAAACTTCACAGTAAATTTTTTGGATTCAGCGTTGAAAACTGAATCTAGAAAACTTACTTTTAAAGCAGCAGGGCGAAAAATGAATTTTCGTGGTGTCTAGAACCGGCACGTGTCGGAATTTTCGCACAGTCTGTCTGACGCTTCAGGTTTTTCTAGAGGATATAGAGTCAATATTTTTGCATGGTTAGATTTACCAGAGGGTAAGCTTCAAATATATGTGCTCCGTTTCTTGGAAATCTTTTTCCTCGCTGAGAAAAGCCGACTTACTAAGAAAAATCCAAATTCTGACGCTAAGTCGCAATTTTCTCCATCAGAAATCAACTTTCACGCAGTGAAAACAACATATTCGGAATCAACATCGGAAATCGAGTCGAATGATGTACTTTTTTATTCTATTCGATGATATTAATCTTTTTTGGATTTTAGCGTCCAAAAATTACTGAGATTTTCATCAAAAAATGAAAATGAACGAAAAAATTCGAAATATATATCATTCGACTCGATTCTCTATCGAATGATGCATAAAAAGACATGAATTATTATTAACGCAAACTCTGCTTTTCGTGCATCGTACATCACTTTTGTCGCTTAAACATACCTATTTTCGGGTATTTAACTTATATTCTATTTACCTAACTTTCATTAAAATGACTTCTGCAAAGTGGCTGTGACAGTTTCATTAAAAAGTTTTGATGGCACAAGAAATTCATTAAAAGTTTTAAAGAAAATGCAGAGCCACCGAACACACAAGAGGTTTCGTTAATATTTTAATGAACTTCCTTTTAATGAAAGTTTTTTTAAAATGAAAAATTTTTTAATGAAACTTGATATCCCATTTTTCCACCTATTCCGCCACTCGTATTTCAATGTATTCTAGTCCATCTTGTAAAGAATTTTATTCTCTACAAGATGTGATAAGAATCACTGTGAGCTATATAAGTTTGACATCAAAATAAGCGTTTTACTGAAAAAAACTCGTTACTGATTTTTTTTCTAATTCTACATTCTTTGATTTTTTTATGTAACAAAAACTATTTTTCGTGTCAACATCTACAAGTGACCTCGTACTAGTCAAAGATAGTGTTTTAAAGGCGCATTTATTATCATAATAGTTTCACAAGGCTAGGGGTAATGTAAAAATTTGAGGAGACTATAACAAATTCTAGTTTCTTACCAGTCTACAGTACCATAAAACTGCTGTAAATAAGGATGAACTTGCAAATGATCTGGTAATTGTATTAATTTGTTTCCAACAATTTCATCTGGTGTTAATCCTTTATTCATAAATCTAACAGTTTGATCATGCACGAATTGAATTCCATCTCGATAATTGGTAATAACTTCATGAATATAGTCTTCTCCAGATATGGGTTTTGTATGAGATGGAATTAAATATTCTGGTCGTAAATTTCGCATTAAATCAAGAGAAGAAGCCCATTGAATAGCATTTCTTGTGGTTGTTCCTCTAATTGCATAAATATTTGGAAATGATTTATAAATATTATCAGCAGCAAATAAAACTTTTTCTTTCGGCATATGAATGACTATTTGATCATCTGTTTCTCCTGGTGCATGATATAGAACAAATTCTCGTCCGGCTATGGTCAAAGCCCACTTATCTGTGTTAAATGTATCAGTTGGATATAAAAGTGCTCGGGTATTATTTCTTTTAAAATTCAAATATAAACCGATTCCACTATTAATATGACCATCAGCTTCTGTTAAATATGTTCCAAATTGCCTTGCTGATCTTTGAAAATTAATTGATTGAACTACACTCATTGCAGTATCGATAATTTTTCTCGTCGTTGAATGCGAATAAACTTTGACATTTTTCACATTATCACCTGCTAATACTTCAGCACCAAATACATGATCAGCATGATTATGAGTATAAATAATTGCAACAACAGGTTTTGATGAAATTGCTTGAAAATCTTTATGAAGTTCAATAGCTCCTTCACGAGATTCTAATGTATCAATTATAATATTTCCATCAATTCCTTCAACTAATATACTATTAGCTATGCCATATCCAATAGCACAATGAATTCCCGGAATAACGGTTATAACTATAAAAACAAAGGACAGAATGTATTAATTATCATACACACAAGAGTCTGATTTAAAAATACTTTGCTTATTAAACTCTTCTGTATGGTTCATCAGGGCTTCGGGCGCTCCAATGATCGAATTATTCTTACTACAACCATAATCATTGATTGGATTGCAATATTCAAATTCTTGAGTATAAATTCTCGATATTCCAGTTACCAGACAGATGGCAAAGAAAAAAGTAAACATGGTTGAACGTTGAACTAAAAAACACGCAGAAATCTATTCATATTTTCATAATATATCATCTTAATTGTTTCATTTAATTCATTGAACTGACTTCAAGAATAACTTTATATGACTATATTAGCTAAAATTAGGAGTGGGACAGTTCCAGTTCAGTTCTTTTGAACGCAAACTGGTAAAAGTTTTTTTCAAAAAGTAAAAATTAAAATAAAACCGATGAACCTACTTACATTGACTTTGTGTAATGCGCCGGAGGTAAATAGTGTGTTTAGCTGACTAAATCAGGTCAACATGACTAGCTACATCGGTTTTATTTTATTTTGAATTGTTGACAAGAACTGGTAACCAGTTCTTTCAACCAGTTCTTAGGAACTGGAACGGTTCCTACTGAAAGGATGAATATACTCCACACTATTAATTCGATTTATTTTCTAATTTATAAAAAATCGACACTGAAAATTGGACATCGCTTATGAAATCTGACGTTCAAAATAGTTCGAAAAATCTTCTTGATTCTTCAAGTAATAGAAAATGTTTCCTAATTTTCTCTAGAATTGAAGAAGAATCGACTGATTTTACAGAAAGTCAAACTGATTTTTTAAAAACAGTATTTGATTTTCTCTACAAGTAAAATTAATTTTTGGAAAATCAACTTTATTTTCTGTGAGTTTGAAGGGAACTTGCGGGCATTTTCTAGTCAAACGAGAATATGTAAAGAGAGTAAGTGCTGTAATGGACACAGAAGTTTTTTGATTGTTTCAGTCAATCTCTAATTGATGGGACACCTAAATTCCTCTGTTTAACGTCTCAGTCACATGCTCTGAAGAGTGCTGCCCTACATCAATACATTGTTAATGTTTATTTCACATTTACATAACGTTTCTCTTCTAAACGAAAGAAACATGCAGTAAAGGAAATTTTAACGACATGTCATTTAGTCCGTCAGTTTGATTCTCTTGTTCACGATTCATATTTTGAAAATATAAGCGCGTTATGACAAAATTTTTCATTGAAAAAAAGAGAGCTTAACTGATTAATCCCTTAATATGCCCTTTCCTTCTTTAAATGACGCACATAATCGTTCTGCATATCATCGGAATAAAAAAAATAAAGTTTGTTTTGAGTTGTTGGAAAGTGCTTTTTCGTATTCAGCACATTCGATAACCGAGAAGATTTTCTATTCTTGACGAGCGGTACTTCCAAAAGTTTAGGAAAAATTTTGAATACTGAATCACATATGTTTAAACAAAAATAAAAAATCTTCCTCGCTATCGAGTGTGCTGAATATGAAAAAGCACTTTTCAGCAACTCACCGACGATTCAAACATATGTAGGAGGGTGAGGATGAAGAACTAAGAGCCGCTCTTCGTACTATAGTATTTGCATTGAATGTACTTCATAATCATGGAAACGTATGCTTCCGAAAAACGTAGATAACTTTTGTGAGAAAGACGACACACTCACCTCTAACCTTCGCTATTTCACTTATTTTGCGCCCTTTTCACTCCCCACATATTTTCAAGCAAAACTAATAACATATTTGAGATCACCAGACAAAACTGGGTCATTTCTTTCATTAAATAATCAATACGTAGTATTTACGATATTCAGAGCGCAAAATCTCAGAAATCGAATTCGCGTTGCCCGTACTCAAAGGCATCGGAATTCGTTTAGTACATATATACATACCAGACTTTTTTATCACACATTTTGTATCTGAAAGTATTCTACAATACCATTACTCATTTAAGAAGACCTCCTCTACTCCATTACATACTCAAAAACCTTATCACGGACGGTACAGATATGTTCAGACATTCGACTTAAATCGAAATTTTGTCTTTTCTTTCTCTTGAGCATAATAAAGGAAGTACATAATGAACGATACTGTACGTTTTTTCTATTTTTCTTGTGCTTCTTTAGATACCTAGGGCTAATGTTTTGTTTTTAAAAGTGTTTTGTTCTGACAGAAAATTGAAGAGACAGAACTAATTAGTTTAATTAATTCTTATTCGTTGAGCTTTATCAAAGCATCGTTTCACTGTCCCCAGGATATGTTTTTTAGACTCCATGTAAAGAGCAATCCGAAAAAAAAATTATAACGAGAAGGACACTGAACAACAGTAAAAATCGTTCTAATTTTTGAATTTCCTTAAGCCCCTCCCCTCCCACACACAGCAAAATAAATTTTTGTCCAAAAAAAAATTGATTTTGCGATTTATATATGCTTCAAGAGCCCAAAGTGTCCTCTTTCCAATGCACTAATTTTTATGGCTTGAAAGATGGCTTTTGATGGTTTTCTAAAAGCCTCCGATTCTAAAATAATTAGTTTTTTATTGAAATATTACCGCATATGCAAAAATACATGTCGCACATGCGCACATGTCTTCTGCATACGCAAATACCTACGGTGAACTATTACTGTATTTCTTTCTGTTAATTATTATTATACTTCTTTCCTTCTTCGCTTTTCATTTCGGAAACTTTTACAGTTCCCCTAAGCTAAACTTAAATTGAAAAATCCATTCACGTCACGACATAAAAAAAAAACATTTCACTATTTTTTGAAACCAATCTGAAATTTGTAGCTCGAAAAATGGCGAAGATATCTTGGAAGTACGAAACGATATAGTAGTGAAAAGAGATTTTGAGAAAAATGTGAAACAAGTTTACGAAATGAAAAGCGAAGAAGGAAAGAAGTATA